TGGTGCATTAATGAATTCAATGACCGTCTTATCATTTCCTTTAAAAGAAAAAAGTCAATGGAATGCAATTAGAGAAAAGTAGAGTACTAAAACTCATCCCCCTAAAAAGTTAGATTCCCAAAAAGGGATATGTTGGTACCACCTTTTATTTAGGGTTTCCCTTTAAATGTCAAAAGTTTGGTCACAGGTCTAGTTCTGTGATATTCTATGAATTCTGGTGAGCTCAGGATAATTTCAGAGATATTCAGGGGCAGTATGGTCATTATAAATTGGAGTGAACTCAATTTAATTTGGTTAAGCAAGGTACATTGCATCATAGACCATGGTCATAGACTAATCACTGCTATTTTACTGGTGTACTGAATATTCTAGGATTTCTGTCACTACCAAGGGTATTCAAGTCCTTTCACATATGTGTATGACAATTATATAACTGCATTGGATGCTACATTGTATTATAGAGCTCAGAAATCATATTTGATTAAGAACACATAGGCTACAATACAGTATTCTATTATATATTGACAAGTATCCTTCAGAGGAGCATTTTGGTCTTTTCAGTTATGTGGTGCACATAACAAATGCGTGCATTGTGGTCCTAGTGAGAGAAGTTGTTGGACAATTCACATTTCTTATGCACTAAGTCTGTATTGATTCAGAAATATATATATATATATATATATATGAGCTTTGAATTGCATGTGCATTAATGAACAAAATAGTGAGCTATGACAAGGACATTGTGGTCCTTTCACATAGGGAATGTCAGAATATTCCCTCACAAATGATTAGTGGAATGTGCCACATGTATTTCTATTTTAGGGCTGCATCATCTCAGTGTAAAACACTATATATGTGTGTGTATATATATATATATCCTGTTATAGTGACAGCAGTAATCAAAGCCTTGTGAGTGTATTTTGTGAGCCTCTTGTGTGGTGCATTATGTGTGTCTTGAGAGCAAAGGATGAATAAGGGTTTTTGAGAATTAGTTTTATGATTTGAGCTTTATTTGATCTCAAAATCCATTATTAAGTGAACACAAGTGTATTGATCATCAAAAAGGCTTCGTGGTGCTGTTTTCTGGTGCAGAATCAAGGTTCAGAGGCTTTAAAATGGTTTAAGCTATTTTCAGAGCATTTTGAAGTTTAAGGTAAGTTAATTTTATCATTTCACAACTGCAAAAACTATGTTTTAAAATTTATTCTTGCTGTAGTTAATTTTGATGTCTCAAACCTCTTGTTTGCTTTATTTTCTAGTTTAAGACTTATGTATTGAGCTTATATTGTTGATATCTTGCTGTGAGCTTGTTGTATATCATCTGAGCATGATTATATAGTTGATTTGAGGTTGTACAAGTTGAGAGTTGCACAGAAACAAGACCATTTCAGAATCTGATTTCTAAACCATTACAGTTAAGGTTTTCTATATAAAACCAAGCCTGTTTGAGTATTGTGTTGATTATACTGATGAGCGATGAATATTGTATATTTGAGCCCCTAAATACGCATATGTTAAGACCAAAAGTGATATATCTATCCTATTTTATACTGATTTATGTTTACTTCGTGTTTTTAGGCGATTTCCCAAAGAAGCGGTTAAAACCGGGCTTTTATGATGAAAAGAATGATAATGAAGTTTACCGCGTCGATGCCGATCATCCGAAGAAAGCAGGGAGCCAAAATAGTGAATTTTGGAAGAGTTCAAGTTTAGGAGATCGAGCCTCAGTTCTATGGCTCGAGCATAAAGCAAGAAATTCCACCAAGGCAAGAAGGCTTGAGCCCTGACCCTCAGAGCTCGAGCCCACGCACAAGGTGCTCGAGCCTTCGCCTAAAAGCTCGAGCACATGATGATCGAAATGTGAAAAGTTTATTCAAGCTCCCAGAACCTCATGCCAAGCCTCAGGGATCGAGCACTAACACCTAAAGCTCGAGCCCATCGCCCCAAAGCTCAAGCCCAACACCTTGGGATCAAGCACCATGAAAAGCGGATTGAACACCATAAATAAAAAGATGTTTCGGAACAATTTTGCTCCTAAAGCTCGAGCCCGAGCTTTAATGCTCGAGCCCAACTCAAAAAGCTCAAGCACAACCATTCTGGGCTCAAGCATTGCTGAAAACTCTAAATCCGCTTCAATATTTTGGGTATAACTTTTGACTCGGAACTCCAAATTGAAAAAACTTAGCGGCTCTAGAAAGAAGACTCGAAGCCCAATATTTTTGTCTCTAATAGCCATCTTGAGATTCGCACTCTAAATGGGTCAAAATCGCTTAGGTTCGAGGTATATTCTTGAAAGCTCGAGCCTTGTACCTGAAGCTCGAGCCTAAACTCCAGAACTCGAGCCTTGACATCCTGGAAGTCAAAAATCATCTTTCTTTATTTCCTTATGGGCCCAATTGTTACCAAAAGCTGTAAAACCAAACCAAAGGGAATTGGGACTTGTTCTTCACTATAAAAGAAGAGAAGAAGACACATTAAGGGGGGCATCCATTACTTTCTCATATCTCTCTCTCACGGCGGCTTTTAGGATTTTGAAGAAAAATATCCAAAAGGAGTTTTGGCGGTCCATGGCGATGAAGACCACAACAACATAGATGACATCTTGCATCGTCATGAGTAGTTAAAATTAAAAAGTCAAACAAAGTTAAAGCAATGAGATGAAAAACAGAGATCGATTTGAACAAAATGTTCGATCGATCTGACGGAGAGCAAAAATATGCAGGTTTTTGGGTTCAGAAATTTGTCTTAGTGTGGGAATTCAAGATCGATCGAACTTGAAGTTTGGATCGATCGAAAAAGTTATGATCGATCTGAGAACAAGTTTGAACGATGGGACAGAGAGGTGATTTGGATGCAGGTGGATGCAGGTCAAAAAAAATTCTAAGTGTTGGATGCAGGTCGAAGTTCGATCGATCGAACTCTCATCTGAGATCGATCGAACTTATGCAAAATGCTCAATTTCAACATAAAAGTGCATGCAATCATAATCACAGTTCCTAGCAATGCATATGAACAAAAAACAAGTATCTAGACTTCGCAATAAATGAAATTAAATATAGAAATGAGGGAGGAATAGGGTTTTGACACCCTACGAAATGTCTTGCTAGTCTTTAAGGAACTTGTTGGATTAAGCTCAAAAGATGTTTTTGGTCCTTGGTCAATGCAATCTTTGGGCTTCCACGCCCTTTCAAAACAAGATTTTGAAACAACTTTCTTTGGTTTCAAGGTTGGAGATGGACTTTTTGAAACCTTGGTCCCACACAAAAACTCAATTCCTTCACTTTTAAGGTCATGACATTTCTCTACAACATTAATCTCTTCATGCTTGTCAAATGAATTGGGGGTTGGATTAAAAATATTCAACTTTACCTTCATGTGGCCGAAAGAGATCTTCATTATCCACATCCTACAATTGATGTAGGCATTCGTGGTTGCCAAGAAAGGACGGCCAAGGATAACGGGAATTTGGCTCTTAGGATTTGGAACCGGTTCCGCGTCAATGACAACGAAATCGACGGGAAAGAAGAATTTTTCAATTTTAATCAAGACATCCTCAATGATACCCTTAGGCTTTTTGATTGATCGGTCGGCAAGTTGTAAAACTACCGACGTTGGTTTTAAGTCTCCTAAGTCTAATTTGACATATACCGAGTATGGAAGAAGATTAACACTTGCTCCTAGGTTAAGAAGAGCCCGATTAATGATATGATCACCAATGATGCGTGAAGTAATAGGTGAACTGGGGTCCTTAAACTTAGGGAGAGTGTTATGCTGCAAAATTGAGCTCACTTGCTCAGTTAAGACCACTTTTCTAGGTGCTTGGCTTTTGTTCTTTCGCTTTTGGGTGCACAAGTCTTTCAAGAATTTAGCATAAGCCGGAATTTCCTTGATTGCATCCAAAAGTGGAAGATTGACTTTCACTTGCCTAAACACGTCCATGATTTCATAAACTTTGGGCTTTTGCTTGTCATTTGAAATGGATCCTTTTAAGGCATCCGAAAATGGAGCTTTTGATTCAAAAACCTTTTTAGAATTTTTCTTTGAAATCTCTTCAACAGAAGAAATTTTCAAATCATTTTGCATATTTCTCTTTTCAAAATCACTTTTCAAATCACTTTTCAAAACATTCTTATTTATATGGTCATGCACATTCAATGAAGGAGGAATATGATATCAAACGGGACGGGTGTTAACTTGTGGTTGCACCGGTTCACTCTCTTCATTGGACACACCCACTTGGTTGTCCACAATCCTTCCACTTCTCAAGGTAGTCACCGCATTAACATGTTTTATTATGTGACCTTCCGATAAGGAATGAGTCTTCACAACACATTGTTGCTTTTGTGGGGCATTCAAATGCATTTTTCCCTTCTCTCTTGCATTCAAAGTACTCACTATTTTCCCTACTTGGGTTTTTAGTTTAGCAATGGATTGAGAGTGAGAATGAAGCAATTGTGTATTTGCGTCTAAAGTGCCCAAAGCGGTCAAAACTTTCTCTTAAAAAACGGGACTTCTAACATTTCCTTGGGAATATGATGGTTGATTGGGAAAATGAGAATTTGAAAATTAGTTTCCTTGGGATTGATATGATAATCTAAAACCTTGGGAACCTTGGCCTTGTAGTGGAGGTGGTGTGACGACCCAAATTTTTCAACCCGGTGCGTCAGTGATGAACCGAAAGTTGACCCGATAACGGATCCGAAATGCGGAAGCGAAAAATAAAACCAAAGTCTATAGAGATATAAACCATCCCCAAGACACCAATGTGACCTTTCATGAAGTCACGGAGCTCAAAGAAATTACCGGAAGCGAAAACTAACATGAAAAGGGTCAAATGGTACCCTATGGCACCAATGACAACCAAAGGGACAAAATCCAGTTCAAACTAGACCACGTACACAAAAACTGAAAAAGAGACTTTAACCCTCACTTGAATCCCCCATTGCATGATCAACTTAATTATATGCAAGTGTGTGATGATGTGAACATACACGCAAGTGTAAAACAACATTTTAAACATGCTAAAATGGCCTATAGCCTAAATACAATTCAATTACAACATTTAATATGTCTAACCTCTAAGTTGGAAAAATTACATTTCACAGGCAAAACTTAAACATGCTAACACTTGCATGTGAACAAGAATGCTTCTAAAGAAACTTCCATTCTGCAATTCACCCAAAGCAAGTGCAAATCTCCAATCTTGCATCCTGTACCTGAAATATGCCCCAGTAACTTTGGGGTGAGCAACATAAAGCTACTCGTAAGAAATGAGCATACATCGACCTAACGTTTTACAATTTTATCACCTTAAGGTGAAACATGCTAAAGGGGCTCATGCCACCTAACGTCTATGTCAAAATGAGACTCAGAGAGCATCCTAAGCTACCCTAGATCATTTCTAGCATCAATCACATCATCCATGCAATTCAAACCACATAGGAGCATGCAATACAAAGCAACATGATATAGATTCTCAAAGTTACTAACTTGAAATCTTAAGTGCGAAAATAACCAAAGTGGATCATGCCACCTAACGTCTATGTTCCAAATGAATCTATAGGATTACTCCTAAGCTATATTTGAACAATAAAACACAATCACAATATCTATACAATTTAACCAACATAGAAGCATACTATACCAAGCAACAATATATAGATTCTCAAAGTTATCAACTTGAAATCTAAAAGCTCGAAATCAACTAAATATAGCAATTTAGTATAATTAGAATATCTAATATCACACATCAAGACATAGATTCTCTAAGTTATTAACTAGAAATCTATAAGTGCGAAATCAAGTAGTGGAACACTTGGACATCTAAGTTCAGAATTCTGCCGAGACCTCAACGGCTATTACAAGGACTAACCCACTGGTAATACCACCCCTAATGCGCACTATCTCGACGGAGAGAACTTATACCTCCCGTACTAGAGCCAAACTCTAGCCATGTTATAGTAACCATATCCCAAGTGACTCTAAAATAAATAAGTTAATAACTTATATACGAAAAATATATATACAGCACGAAACTACATTCCATGCACAAGTAGGCCGAAACCACACAATACATGCTCTAAATCCACAACTGCTATAGGATGACAATGTCGAATCTTCAGAGTGCGATTCATTACGCGTTATAATAACATCACATGTCGAATCTTCAGTGTGCGATTCGTTACACGCTAAAACAATATAATTCAATATTGAAATATAATCGCATAAATCCATTAGAAGTCTAAAATCATGCTTCAAACATAATATCAATGTTAAACACACGATTTAATCAATAATGCAATAGAAACAGAAATTAATTATATAACCTAATTACTTTCTCTAAGTTTCATATCTCAATCAAATGAACCCTAATTAACACATGTTAAACAATATAACTTATTCATTACATGAATCAAATCAAAAGCTTACTTAGGTCATTGGATCAATAGGATGAAATTTAATTAAAACATGATAATTAAATCCTTAAATTCTAAAATAAAATCAAATGGTCCCAAATTTAACATATACTAGTGTACAAGTCCTAGTCATCACAAATATTAAGTTAAAAACTTAATTAAGCCAACGGAACCTTTAAATAGATTTTAATTAATCATTTTAATTAAAATCTCTAGATTTTAATACTTAACCAAATGCTCTCAAATTAAAGTATGTTAAACAACATGCCAAAACTTAATTTAAAAGCATGCTACAAGTTAATTTCATGCAAGGTACGTCCATGATAATTAAACTTTCACAAAAAATAATTATTAAATAAAAAGGGCAATTCATATTCAAATAATTCCAATTTAGTATATGTTAATAAACATATCAAAACTTAATTTTCTAGCATGCCATAATTTAATTCTAAGTCATATAACATCATGAGAATTAAATCTTAACCATAGAAATTAATTAAATTAAATTCTAGATTTTAAACAAAACCATGCATACAAGTTGTATAATCATGGGAAACACTTAATACAACACATAAACAATCCTAAAACATCCCCTACCTCAATTTGAGATGAAAATCTCAAAAGCCCACCGAAAAAAAAGTGTTCCGAATCCGATAATACCGAAAGGTTTTGTCGGGGACAACACGATCTACATGAACCCCTAAGAAGCCCCATCAAAATCACAACTTGGCTTCAAACCCAAACTCAAAATTTGGTCAGAAATGGGTTCTAATAAACGTGAAAGATGCGTATCGCCAAGACGAGCAATAAACACAAAGGCCCTACTATGTTTTGACAAATGAATGAAGCTCAAAAAAGGAAAGGGAAGGTGGCAGCCTCCCTTTGGCTGCCATGGGAGCTACTGGTCGTGCAAGGAGAGTGGCGAAAATGAAAAATGAAATATCTCATCCTCTTTTATAGAAATCTCAAAAAGTGCCCTGAACGGGCCCTACCGGGTCCGAAAAAGTGAAATTCGAGCAGACGTGCTCAAATGGCAAAACTCTGTGAACGAAAAAGATTCAAAATGAGAAAAAATGAACAACGGAAGGAACGGCGTTAAAAACTGAGTCCCGAACAAAAAGTTATACCCCAAACAAGTTCGGCAGTAACCGGGACCAGAAACCCTGAAACTGGAAAACAACGACCAGGAGGAATTTTATGATTACACGACTCGACGAAAAGTGAAAATGAATCCCGTACGAGGATCCAGGCTCAAAACAAGGCATTTAGTAATAACTTTTATTAATTACACAATGGCCCAGAATGAAAATATTGTCCAAAAATATTTTCTTAAAAATCCCTGAAATAAAATATCTTCAAAAGATATTTAAGAAAAACACCCTAAGAAAAGAAAATAATTCCAAAGAACTATGCATCCATGCCCCTATGGACACCGGGACCAACCAGAGTACTTTCTTACAAAAGTAAAGATACGTATTTCGTGGAAACCACTTAGAATGAAAATACATGAAGTCAAAAACCAACTCCAAACGCAAGAAGTGTGGTTTTATAAACAAAGTGACAAACGGGGAAAGACAAAATAGGGAAAAAGACGAAATAGGGAAAATGACGAAAAGTGAATAGTGTCGAAAAATGAAAAATGTGGAAATGACTTGGTCCTCAAAGGAAGTTGTCAATCCAAAGAAAAGAGTCTTGAAAACCATCCCTGAGCACTCAAGATGACACTAAGTGATGAGAAACTGAACTAAGAAATGAAACGATTAACGAAAAAAAAAAAATCCGTAAATATCTGAGAAAAGGGAAAGGAATGAAAATGACCGGGTCATTACAGGTGGAATGTACTTTCCTTGAAAACCGCCTTGGGAAGGGTTTGAACCCTCCCCTTGGTTTTTCTAAGAGAAATTCGGGTGATTCCTCCAACTAGGATTGTAATGATTTCCATAAGGATTGTTCCCTTGATTAGCAAAAACAACATTTGCTTGTTCATGATGCTCACTTTGCACATGTCCATGGGGACAATTGGAAGTAGAATGTAAAACACTTGAACAAGTCATACACATCTCATTAGATGCATGATGAGAATGGTTAGGGAAGAAAGATACTTGATTCGCCGAGTTTTGGTTGATCAAAAATTGATCAAACATTTGAGAGAATGATTTCATTTTGGTGGTAATTTCATTAGAGTGGTCGACTTGATGTAAGCCAACACTCTTCCTACCACTATAATTTCTTCCATTCTTTGAAGATAAAGTACGATGTAAAGAATTTTCACTCATGCTCTCATAAAGACGCCACGCATCATCCTTATGCCTATCAATGTAAGAGCCACCCATGGAAGCATCAACCATGCCTTTGTAATTGTCCGATAAGCTCTCAAAGAAATATTGAACTAATTACCATTTGGGCATGTCATGATGTGGACACTTCCTAAGCAATTCATTAAAGCATTCCCATGCCTCATGAAATGTTTCTCCATCCCCATGCGAAAATTCTCGAATTGAGGTTCTCATGGCATTGGTCTTAGAAATCGGATAGTACTTCTTCAAGAACTCTTGTTGCATTTTCACCTAAGAAGTTATTGAAAAAGGCCTAAGATTGTTAAACCAATATTTTGCCTTATCTTTAAGGATGAATATAAAAAGTTTAAGCCTTAATACCTCTTCCGGCATGTCCATATATTTTATGGTGGAACAAACTTCAAAAAACTCATCCAAATGCTTATAAGGTTCTTCACTTGGAAGTCCATGATAATTAGGAAGCATTTGAATGGTTTATAGCTTAATTTCATAGTGATATGCTCTAAATGGTGGCAATTGAATGCATGTGAGTGCATTATATTCATTAGGCACATAGTGATCTCTTAAAGTAAGGGGAGGATTAGCAATTGGAGGTGCAACATGGGCACCTTGGTTGCCTTGAATGATAGGAGGTGGTGGAGCATAGATTGGCCTTGGCATTCCCAATGGAACTTGGCCTTGTTGTTGTGGTGGATAAACATATGGCCTTGGCATGCCTAATGGAACTTGCATGTTATCATGATGCACATTGGGGTGGAGGATACCTTGTTGGTCTATGTGACTAAGGTCCTCCACATGGTCCTCATTATGTCCTTCCATTGATGAAATGGATAGACTAGAGCTACCTCTTCCCTTAGGGTTTCGAATAATGGATTTAAGACGAAAATTTAAAAGGACAAGAGTGGGTCTCAATGATCTACGACCATGCATGCACAATGCTACACAACAAGTAATAACAACAAACACTTCACCTTCACAACAAATCAATAATTAACAAACTTCCTCCACATACAATGTTCATACTCCCATGCTTAAACAAAATGCAAGAAAAGTAAATTGCCTCCACGTAGGCTCACGATTTATCTAAGAATTGAAATACAAGCATCGACGCGGGCCGACGATTAAACTAAGGAATGAGTAAAGAAAAACTCACAAAGGTCCTTTAGCACTTCAACTCCAAATTTATAGCTTAGCTTAGCAATTTTTAAATCTTTAGTATTTTTCCTTTGCTTGCTTAGCTCCTTTGCTTGAAATATCCTTTGCTTACTTCCTAGCTCAATAATCCTTGTCAATCAAGAACAAACACAATAAGTAACAAAAATTGAAAACAAAGTAAAGACACGATCAAAAGAGTACTAATTCCTAATTGATTCCACAAATACGACGTTGCCAATCAATCAATCCCCGGCAACGGAGCTAAAAACTATGGTTTCTTCTCGGAGGTCGCACAAAACAATGCACAAAACTTTGAGTTTGGAAATTAGTGTCAAGTGATCACCATAATTTAAATTTATAAACCGCCTAACACCTATACTATGTAGTATGAGTGAGAAGGGATCGTCCCAAGGGATTGAATTGTCATACTAGGTTGGGGAATCAAAATTAGGGTTAGTAAGTCGAGTGATCAAAATAGTAGTTGGTTGGTTGAATTAAACTAGATGTAAATTGAACTAAGGTAAACAATAATGTAATAGAGAGAATAAAAGATAGAGAGAGATCTTAGGGTTTAGAGATCACCACTAAGCATAACTTTTCTACACCTTTAATGAATGATTAATGAGGAGAAGAACATGTATTGCGATATAGTGTGTGTGTGGGGGGTTGTTTCAACTAGAATGGATAACAAATTAAACATATATTGTCTAAATAATATGGTGGATAGCACAACATATCAAATTAAGCCATAAAACCTTTCTTCAAGCTCACAATCCAAACACATTACATGGTTAGAGATATATGTTACTTGCTTTTCATAAGTATGGAACATCAACAACAAGCATGGATTGTCCTCCCATTTAACAATTACACTACAACTAAGCTAATGATATGAAATTAAACTAATTAAACTAAGGGAGAGGCACAATCCATTAAGTAATGAGTATGAACCATCAAATAAAACACAAGAACATGACATTAAGCACTAAGTCTTGACAATCTCTAGATCTATATCATCAACACATATAGACATGCATCAATAACACAAGAAATAGAGACAAACACATGAACATCTATTCTAGCATACATAGACATATAGATAGAATGAAATAATCAATTGGAAGCATTAAACCATATAAATCATTGAAGAAACAAGATTTATATATATAAAAATGTCAAGACATGAATCACAATACAAATCCCCTCAAAAATACATAAATCAAGAAGTAGAAAGCATGTTCAGGGCTAACTCTAACCCCAAGAGGATGTCTAGCCACTCATGGATGATGTCCTCCAACCCTCAAGGGCAAGCTCTATGGAAGAAATCTGCTCCTTGGTTGATGAAGAGTCTCCAATGGTGTCTCTAGCCTCCTCCTCTTCTTTGCTTCCTCCCTAAGAGTTCTCTAAGTATGATATGATATGATGTGATACAATATGATCCTCTATGTTCTAAGTTATCTATGTTACAAAACATAATCATTATCCTTATATAGGTAGGTCAAATGACACCCAAAATGAGCTGGGGTCGTACAACTAATATTCCCCAATGATTGGATAAAGGATAACTTTTGTGAGCTGGAAATTAAACTTTTTCGCACTGGAAGAAGTTCAATTGATCGAACCTTGAACTGGATCGATCGAACATGATTAAGATCTATCAAACTGAAGTTGGATCGATTCTCAATGGCGACGCTTTTTTGGATAAAAACAAATCTGAGATATTTTGAAAATATTTTTAGGAAAAGGACAAAAGTGGTTGGTAGGGTAGTACAACTAGATAAGATCAATCATTTGGATAAGGACAAGAATGTTTGATCGATCGAAGAAGGAAGTTGAATCGATCAAACTTTTGAGATCTTTGAACAGGGACAAACATGGCTTAGATCTATCTTGAAGTACTGAGAAGGATGAAAGTTGGATCGATCGAACTTTTCTTGAGATCGATCGAAGTTGCTAAAATTCCACCATTTGCTTCCTTTTGCTCTATTTTACTCCTTTCTTTGATTCATCCCAGAATTGCTTCAATTATGCTCTTATTTGGCTGAGTTAGCTTATTTTGGGGATAAGTACTTGAAAATAGAAATAATACGAAATCAATACAAGACAGTAAAATAAAGTAGATAAATGTTCTAAAATAACTAAACTTAAGGGGCTTAAATACGAACTTTTCAGCGCTCATCAGAAAGAAAGACTTTCTACCACGGTACAAAACCGTGGTAGAAAGTATTATATAATTTTTTTTTAAATAATAGTGTAACCCTTATGAAAGCCTTTTTTTTTTTTTTTTTTACCTACTACTAGAATTACAAGAACCCCGCAAGCAAACCCTAAATAAATAAAAAAATAACATCATAATCAGAATAATTTACAACTAAACAATAACATCATATATATATATATATATATATATATAACCAATTTCAAATCATTGTTTTATACAAAAATTAATCATATACAAATTTCAAAGAAGTATATGATCCACACCTTATATATTTACTTAACCAAAAGAAAACAAAAATTCTTCATATCTTCTTGCAACTTCTTCATAAGCTATATAAAAAATATAGTGGCAACAAAAAAAGTAACGTCAACCGCAACCCGCAATCCTATCTTTGACCTACAAAGATGTAATAGTTGAAGTAAGAGAATTAATGTGAAGCAAGTTGTAAAGTTGCCAAAATTAAACCAAGCAAAGCAAGTTGTAACGTTGCCAAAATTAAACCAAGCAAAGCAAGCATTATAATAAAGATACTTTGAAAGATCTACTCTTCGTATTAACTCAAACAAAGCAAGTATTATCATGGTTTTAACTCAAGCAAAGCAAGTTCAGTGTGTCAAGCTAAAACTACTACCAAGCTAAGGTTTCTTCTTCTTCTTCTTTTTTATTATTATTTTTTTAAATTGATCAAAATGGCAAAATCAAAGGCTTTATATGTATCTAGAATTTCATAAGAAATTCTGTGTAATTACCATTTTGATATTACAAAAATGGAAGCAAAGGAAGATGCTGGTTTTATCAGCTTCATGTAGTGAGCATGCTGTTCGTAGGAAGCTTTTCTTCCAAGTGGAGTCTTTGGCCACCACCTCAATTGTCTTGAGGCAGAGCTATCCTTGTTTAGTGTACACTAGAATGTATATACAATTTACAAGCTGTTGAAACTATGACAAGGTGTTCTCTCTCTTGAGTTGCTAATTAATTTTCATATATACTCTCAAAGTAATGTTTTAGCTAAGTTTATTTATTAAATTATTTCTCCTAAATATGTTATAGGTAAGTTTAGAGATGGGCATCTTTTATGGACTATCACTACAGTGGTTATATAAGTGAAGCACTCCTTCCTTTGCTTGCATTATCAACAGCTTTAGAATGAATGGAATCCTTTTGTTAAGGGCATACTAAAGTCATAATAAGGTTGAACTGTTATTAGAATATGGAATAGGTAGCATTTGATCTGACTCTCTATGTATGTATGTATACAAGAAAGAGGCTTGACATGGGTAATACTCATACTTTATTTATCAGTTCCTTTAATATTGTTTTTTGGGCAATAATCATTCATTTACATGACCCTACTACTATCAATTTTTGAAACAAATTTAATCAGCATCATGACTGGGAGGTAACTTTGGATTGCTACATAAAAACTTGTTTCTTGTAAATGAGTACAATGGATGAATTGGCAACACTTTTCTCATTTATGAATTTTACGAGCATCCTACACAGACTTCAACCATCAAACTTTTATTTTAAAAGATGAAAAATTACTATTACTGCTAGATTGCAAGATTCATATAAATTTTTTATCTACTATGTCATAATTTGAAAGTAGTACAGATATTACTACTACCAAGGCATAATTGCTTCAGTAAAGAGAGACCTTACAAAGGAAAGTGAAGTAGTAGGGAAAAATAGAAAGAAGATAAAATGGAATCTTTACCTTTTGTTCAACGCTCAAGTTCAACCCAAATTTACCAATTAATTGAGAAAGAGAACACTCATCTTGTTGAATGCGTCTTTTATTACCCAGTAAGCTTCTTGCTATGTTTGTTTGTTTGTTTTTTTTTTTTTTTTTTTTTCGATGCTTGTTACTTGGACAATGTTACTATATAACTGGCATTATAAAACTTTGCATATTATGTATGATTTATTTTTAATATTTTGTGATTTATTATTGCATGATATGGGTCGCATGCGATATATTTGAATGAATGCCCATTTCAAAATTCAACTTTAACTGTTTGCCAATGTTCTTATAAATTGGGAAAGCGGCTTAGATCAAGAAGTATTTTGGGTGTTACAATTTCTTACTTTGCAATTGTCATTTGTGCTAGTTGACAATGAAAAAGAAAAAAGTGGAATTCTAGTTGATCACACCCAGACCAGAAGTGGGTTTTGTTGTATTTGTTGATGCATTGACTACTATATAGCCAAAATTTCATTCTTGATTTTTCTTTTTTTTCCTTTTCCAGAGGTTGGGAGGAGTCATTGCTTGGTGCAATGATCCAGATAACAAACGATATGATGTGAGAGCAAAAAATTATGCAAAATAATTTTAATAGTTAGGTCCATCTCGCGTTAACGAGATCAGCACCAGGTAATGGCCTTTCTTGTGAGGGTTTCGGGAGGAGAGGAGTGTTGTTTATGCCTTCTTTATTCCCTTTTCAGGTAAGATTCCTCTCAAATCATTACGGCGAAGTGAAGCAAGACCTCTCAGCTACACAGAATGCTAAAACTACATGATTAAAACACCAATTTCTAGCCATCGTCATTTAATTACTTTATGTTCTCACTAGTCAACAAAACCATAAGGTTCATTGCACTTTTCAGAACCGCTAGTGTATGTCCTACTTTTCCTGAAATAACTGGGCCTTTGCAATTCCGTTCCTTCCAACCTGACTTTGTTCCAAGAGATCCCAAGGCCAAGCCTAAAAGTTACAAATATCCACCCTTCTATAATCCATATGGCCCTAAAACTCCACCTTCTGAAAATATAATTCTGCTTGCAGAAATTGTCATTTGGATCAGTTTTAAAGATGTTTTGGAGTTCAATTTCCTTCTTTTGATTCACATACAAATGTGACTATAGCACTCTTTTTTTAAGGTAATTAATCCACCCCTTTTTTTCTTACATCAATCATATGCATATAATATGAATAACAACTAATACATAAAAAAAATTTAAGTTGCCAACTTGCATTAACTCCTTAAACAACATATCAACAACTTCTCCTCCACAACAATCAATCAAAACCTCCACATACGATGATCCCATACTCCCATACTTTCAACATTTTAAAACAAGAAATAAAAATGGCCCTCACACGGGCCGATGTACCAATAAGGTAATAAAGTTCAAGATACACCACAAAATTGGTCACTTAAAGACATGTGACCCCCCTGAGTATGAGTATAAAAAGCATTAAAAATGTGCAATCATAAAAGAATTTTATCGAACATAAAGACCATATAACTTACAAATTTTGATGTACTTGATAGGCCATGCAATCGACGCTCCCGTTGTTGTCTTTTCCCAGTCCCTTTGGAAGACTACATTTCAAGTACATGCAAATCAATTAAAGAAAATATAACAGCAAAATAAACCCTAAGTGGAGATAGTTAAATGAAAAACGAACCCTGAATTCTTCAATAGTTGAGCCCCTATACAGCTGCACAACCCGATTCACCCATTTGACATATCTCACCCTTTCTACCTCAACAACTTCCTCGTCCATTGTCCAATATATTTCACTAATCATTTCTGGGGCATCAAAATCAAGACGAGAGTAATGTGTCCACAGATACCTCCATCGACTTGATAGGACACTAGTAGCCATTGCTTCCTTGAAGGTCAAAAAAGAGAGTATGAGAACAACAATGTCATCTGGCATCCGGTCTTCTAAATAATGGTCACCCTAGCTTGTCACACAATTTGTACAAGGGGGGAAAAAAATAGTTGCAGAATCACCCATTCAACTTATTTCAATATTACAAATTGATAATAAACATTATTTAACAGATTGGCCAACTAAATCTGTTTCGATATAAGGTATCATTTTAAACCTTTGCTTGTTTGAGAAAAGATGTATAGTAAAAATTCTAGAGTTCATATAGGAAGTAGTTTAGAGTTTAAAATTCACCTTTTGTTTATCATTTTCAAGAGCAAGTTGGACCCCTTTCGTCTTGAATTTGATGATACCTTTTGCTTTTTTGTATCCGGAATTCAATCAAATACGTACAAGCAGTCAAAAAAGGGAATGGGTTAGAACATTATACAAAATGATTTGCACTAAAAATTTCACTCAAAAGGATTTAGTTTGCAGAACAAGAATTACAGAAATTTATTAATTGATGTAGAAAAATAAAAATAAAACAAAACCAATACATACAAGTTAGCAGTCGCAGAAAGAGGGCTTGAGAGTTGAGAGACAGCACATGGACCAGAGGCTGAAGCTTGCGAACGGCGATGGAAGCTGAAGGATATGGGTTTTAATATTTTGATCAATCTCTTCATCGACACTACGCCACAACTCCCGCTTCAGGGTGGCCGATGTGGATTCGGTGGTGCGACCTCGCCGGAGACGCTTGAGGGTTTGCGGTGGATCTGGAATTTGTGGGTGGGTGATTCAAAATCATCATCGTTGTCGTTATTCAAAATCATATCTGATATGCCGATATGGGTTCTGATTCTTTTAGATCTTGTACTTTGCAGTTGCAGAGATAGAGAGAGGGCCGAGTTGAGAACGATAATAGAGATGGAGGCGATTGGGGAGGCTGAAATGATTTGCCCTAAAATATTGTATGTGTGTGGACACATGTGAGTAAATATAATTATGTATATAAAATATATATTTTTAAATTTTTTTTAAGAAATTAGCGAAAATAAGACCCGGTAGAAACGGATGAAACTAAATTCACTTTCTACTACAGTGCCTACACCGTGATAGAATAAATTATTATCAAAGTTTTCTATTAACCGTGAAGAAAGATGGGTGGAAGGAAGTGAAATAAATTCATTTTCTACCATGATTTTAAAATAATCGTAATAAAAAGACCGGCTAAATTACTTTCTACTATAATTATTTTAAAATTGTAATAAAATAATATACTTTTTATTATAATTTTAAAATAACCGTGATAAAAAGACACGATTCTTTCTACCACGATTATTTTAAAACCATGATAAAAGAATATAATTTCTACCACGATTTTGATAAAAAAAGCTTGGTAAAAAATTGCTTTTCTGCTAGTGAACCTGAATTCTATCGGCTTGAATCGCGCTCTTTCAGGTCATAAACCTCTCTGTCATTTAGACCCAATTCCACTTCTCCTTCCCCAAACAAGCTGTCTCCTTTGCCATCACTTTTCTCTCCAAAAAAGCCATCGCCTTTGCCTTTATTGTCACCGGAATTGCAGGCCAAGAGTGTAGAAGACACTGTAAGGAAGAAGATTCATTACAAGTCTTCACCTCCACCACCTCCGATCCACCATTTTATTCTCCGATAAAATCGAATTCGAATCTTAGAAATGATTATGTTTTTGCTGACAAGGAATTGAAGAGGAACATCAGAAGTGTGCCAAAGGATTCGAATGGCAGTGGTAGAGAGGAAGTGCTAATGAGAACAAATTCAGGGTTAGAGTCAAGACCAAGAGCCCAAAATGATGGTTCTTTGATGGGTCGCCAGTTCGAACAATTAGATCTAATGAACGCATTATGGGTGCTATGAATGGCATGGCAGAGAAAAGAGAAACATAATCAAGTTTCATTAAAAGAACAAGAAGAACATTTCCTGTGCTGTCAAAATCAACTTCCTCAGTCTATAGAATGGACGAGATGAATGGAATTGAGGAAAATGTGGTTGTGAAAAGTGACGAAGATTCAGATGGATCAGGATGATTGTAGCATTAATAGAAGGGTAAAATGGGTATTGGAAAAAATATTACGAAAAGTATATTTCATAATATTTTCTGCACTTACTCCCTCTTAATATTGCTCTTCATATACATATATATTTACAATAAACATTTATTTTTGGGACCATTATTAAAAAGCAGAATAAACAAGGTTATGAGAAATAAAGGAGTAGATGCTTATTGCGTCATGAGTACAATTTCTCATGACGTACTTAAATTTTTTTTTTTATTGCTCTTATAATTTCCAAGTCTTTATTTAATAAAGCTCGGTCGAAGTCAATGGCTTCACGAAGGGATGTGGAAAAAGTTAGAAAAAAAGAAAAACAATATTTTAAGATTCACTGGCCAAGTTGTTCAATTGTTTCTTCCATTCCTTCACATGTTTTAATTAGGTAATTGTAGTTGGGATTTTTATTAATGAACAGTTAGTTCATAGATGACCAGAAGTCTTTCTTTAACACAAGATCTCACTTGATCAAAGTCTATGTTTCTTTAATACTTCCACATGCTACTCGTAGTGGGATCAAAGTACAAACAAATATATAATAGAATGGTTGAATATTAAGAATCTTAATTTAAATATTCTTTGTGAATTATGTATCCCCTTATCTAATGTGTAAAACATTTTCTTGAGAAACTAATCCAAATATGTATCAAAGTAAGGCAAAAACAGTAATTTCAGCGTATGCAGTGTGTTGCCTATAAATACATGACCCTCCACCTCTACATATAAGATCAAATTCCATAAGCTGAGAGAGTAGCTGGAGAGAGAGAAAAAAAATATAGAGAGAGAATGTCAAAAACCCTAATGGGAAGTGCTGGGAAGCTGTCCCTTGAAATAGAAGGTGATAATGGGAAGGAACAGTTGTCCATTCAGATGAGAGAAGATGGGAAGGTGGAGGTCATGGAAGTCGATGGCAAGGTGGAGATTGTGGAAGATTCGGCTACTATCGCTAACCCAAACGATCCCAAAGTGATAGAGGTGGCAAAGTATGCTTGCGAGAAAAATCATGTGGTGTTTGAGCGTGTGACTATGGGGATCAAACAACATACTTCCAAGGGTACATTGTATCGCCTTCTTATCTTGGCCAAAGACCACGGAGTGCCGAAACTATTCATCACTGTTGTTTTGAAGCCCGCTAAGGGAATGGTGATCTTGCTCTTCAAACCTACGTAATGCTCGACCACCTGAGGTTGATTGGCGGATGAAAGGGTCCTATTAAGAAGTGTTCTAAATATTATCTTCCAATTTGAAATAATATAAATAAAAAGATCCGTTGTTGTTAGTTGACCCTATATGGAGTCAGGCAGGCAGGTCCTACTGAATGTAATTGTGTTTTTATTTTGCCTCCTTTAATGTAACTTTATTTGTCAAACCTTATATAAACTCAAAGAATTATGAATGCTTTAGTGATTTCGAGAGCCGCCTTATATATGACTGTCAAAATTAATAGACTTTAAAACTATGAATATTGAAAGAGTATTTCTTTAGTAGTGTTTCTTATTCAGAAATGAAAGAGAGAAAATATAATGAAAAAGAAAATAAGAGTGATGATCCCTCAATCACTCTAAATCCTTGGATTCCTATAACAGGATTTGAAGTTCATTAAAAACAGTTTTTATTTTAGAATGATTTTCATCATCTTCTATGTCCCTGCGTAAATCAAAATTTCGTTGTTGAAAGTATTTAGAGGTTCTTTTCTGGCACTCGGAGCAACCCATCACTAGAAGAAGTATCGCTTCTAAATTCAGATCAAAGAGTATGGCTTTCTTAGCCTTACCCTTAAAATTATTCTTCTTTTTTTTTTTTTTTTTTTTTTTTTTGACTTTTCTTTTATCTTTTTTAAAGACAATAGTGGAGAAAGTGAATCATCACAATTCTAGCATGAATTATCCATTTTCAATGTCTTGAATATAGATTTCTTAGCCATTAGATTTTGAACATTGTCATTTACTTTTATATTTTGACTTTCATGGATCTTAATTATAAACTTTCTAGCAAGTAAGACAATTTCATCATCCGTGTCATTACTAGAAATACTATCAGAATCCATGTTTTTATCTAATTTTTTAGTTGGAGGATTACTTAATTTAGGTGGAGTATTACTTGATTAATTCAAAGTTTGTTATTGTGACGACCCTAGTTTTTAAGCCAGTGTGTCCTGTGACGACCCGAACTGGATCCAAGATGTGGAAGCAAAAGAAACAAGACAACAGTCTTTCAAGGCACAACACACATATAAGACACTTTGATAACCTTCCATGAGGTCATGGAACACAAATGAACCAAACAAATGAAGCAAGAATGCCAACTCGAAAAGAAATGAATCAAGGACAAAATGGTCATTCCAAACTGAAATGGGTGCCACTGAGCATACCACTAGAAAGACAACAAAAAAATGAACCAAGTTAGACTCAAGAATCGCCTGATTCGGAGTCTGGACCGAAAAGACAAGAATTTAAAACAAGGTGGCCTTCACCGTTTAAGAATCACCATGAATCTATCTTACTAAAACTGGAATAACTCTCATCATAGATGGAGTTATGATGTGTGGTTAGTATCATTGGATAGCTAACTTCGAGCTCTTGAATTTATAGTCAAGAATGACCCAAATCAGATTCGAAATGAAAGAGAAATGATCTCCCAAAGTTGGAACAACAAAGCTATCCAATAGATGCTGAGAGGGAGGGGGTTCTAGGGAGGATCGGTCAACTGAAATGCAATGGTCAGCCGGCCGAAACTCAACCTTCGGTCGGCCGAAACCCAATCGTCGGTCGGCTGAAATAAGGGTTTTTCCTAAAAAGCCTACTGGAATGGTCTCGAGGGAATCGTCAGCTGACCGATGGAGCTTCATCAACCGACCGAAACTCCTGCTGCTGCTATGAAAAGCTGCTGTAATGGTGTATGTCATGCTAGGTTCATTTTTAAGGCTCTCTAAGCTTTATACATGATCCGAACAAGTTTAAAAACATCTTTTAACATCATTGAAGCATTCAAAACATGTTAAAACAAGGGGAAACTCAAAATGACACCCCGTGGAGGAATTTTTCATAAAAATTCAATAAATCGCCCATAAATAGTTCAAAAGTTGAAACTTAAGAGTTTTGTGAAACATGGACATACACGCAAACGTAAAAAGATATTTAAGACGCGTTCCAATGGTCCGCGACTTCAGAATGTCTAGAATGCAAAATATGACCTCTCAATGGCCAAAAATGCCTAAAAATGGAATAAATGGAACCTCAATGCAAAACCTAGAATGAAATGGTGTTTAGCCCTTGGCCACACCTCATGCATGATCATAGAAACCCTATGAAAAAGAAATAATGGAATTCCCACACCCAATGCAAAAGTTATGAAGAAAAGACTTATGGATTTTCAATTTTTTCATAATAACTTTGAGAATAAAAGTACATAGAATACAAGTTACATATCATTGGCCTCCGGCCTCATCATATACATGTTGA